CTAGATTGACCCAGTTAGCCTACTAGACCCTCGGCCTTTCTTGGTCAACTTCTTAGTTTTAAATCGCCACCCCAGCTAAGCAGCGATTTTGACTACCTGCAACTGGAAGCCAGCTGCTTCCTCGGGAGCAATGTTCCTCCTCAGTCTCTTCTGGGTCCTGGCAGCAGAGCCTAACCCTCACCTCTTGTCTCCCCTTTGTGGCTTTCTTTGAGAGGAAGGGCCAACATCCCGGCCCTAAATTTATCGGTCTCAGTAGGTGGGGCCGAGGAGACAAACGCCACCTAGAGTGACGCCATGTCGAAAAGGTTGATCCGCTCCTGAGACCCAGCATAGGAGCGGATCATGTCCAGCTATCACCTCTCGTCAGGCTTGAGGAGGCGCGGCCTCAATGCGTCCCTATTTATCTCTGGCCAGTTAGGATAGGAGAGCACGTCATCAGTGCCGAACACCCAGATGAAATACTCCTTCTAGTCCCTATTGGACTCAGGAGCATTCGTCATAAATTTAAAATTTCCACTTTAGTGTAAAAAATAATCAGGGTCCTTCTTCGTCGACTTAATGCAGACTAAGTGCCCAAATAAGTGTATACTCGGCTCGATGCTGACTCGGTGGCATATAACCACAAAACCCACCAACACCCCAAATGGCATTGGGGGTGAATTGGTAGGGGAAACCCCCATAGCGACGCACGCTTCCCTTATAAAGGAGTAAAGCGGCAGTCGGAGCCCATATTCAAGGTGGGCTAAGTAAAGGGATGCCCTGTTGTTGTCATAGTGGTACATCGCCTCATACCTTGTCGGCGCCTCCATTGTGAACGCCCGCAGGATGTCATCGAGCACATAGTATTTCCTGAGATCCATAGCATAGACTGTTGAGTGGATTGACCTGAGGAGAGCAATCCTCTCCTCATTACGGCCAACCTGAGAAGCCATAGGAAATTTGTGGTTGCAAGAAATTTGGGAAGATTAGAGAAGAATGAGCGTTGGAGATTTGAAAGCAATAGCTCATAAAGAATTCTCCTTTGCCCCCAATGGGTTATTTATAGAATTCAGGAGACACATGGAGTTATTTGAACGGTCGCTACATTTTGAAATGAACGAACGAGATTCGTCTCAAAATCTCAAGCGGTTCACACGAAATCTGAAGCGTCATTCCCCTTTACTCTGTGCTACTCCGCTCAAAAATCGAAGCGACGTCATTACTCTCTGACAACTGACAGTAATTTTACGTCATTTCAAACAGTGACGTTTCACTTGCCTAATAAAGGCTTTTGGAAACTCACTAAACAACATCCTCTCGGCGAGCAGCCAACCATGCACTAGTCAACCCTCAATGACCGGTTGCTGATTTCAAGTATGTTTCTCGGGTACTTGTCTTAAGAGGTTCAAATGCCGACTAGCAAATAGTCAGCCCAATTGGTTCTATTGATCCTATACTTAGACAAAAAACCAAATCATCAGACTGGTTACTCAAAATTTGAGGCATATCGTTTTAAGAGAAGGCGAGTCGACCCTCGAGCCAATAGTTAAAGGTTTTTCAAGTCTATGCTAAGGCCAAGTCATTCAGAAGCACATAAAGAATGCACAACACAAAGAAGCAATTTCAAGTGCAAAAGTATTTCTTCATTCATGGATAAAGTATCTTTACAAAGTTACCCCCTGAATGTTAGAATAGTATATGTATTTATACTCGGTGCATAAGTGGTAGATTAGTCACTTCGGTCGAGCACAGAAAAGCGGTGGCGAAGTGTGGGCTGGCACCTGGGTCAGCCTCTACTTTACAGGTGTCGGCTGGCGACTGGAGGGAGGATCTCTTCAACATTAAATAAGAAGTGAGAGGGAGTATGACGGTGGTCCACGTGGTTTGATGAGTCATAAAGACTATTGGGGCTAGAGGCATGATGATGCCTATTAAGCATTAAATACGACGTGGACACGTTGTCAGCGAGGATAAGCTCGAAGCAGAACATCTAGCTTTGTCGAGAAGTAATGCATTTCGAGTCGTCCTCGTGAGGCGTTAGTCACATGGTCGAGTAGACTCCTGGTGAGTTGTCTTCAATAAGCAGGTCGACTAGTACCGCTATTCGAGTCAACACGAAGAAATATCTACTCGACCAGTCAGCTAAGTCAGATTCTGCAGGGATTAGGCCACCAAGTTGACTGGGGCATTGATTGCAGAAATACATTTGTTTGCCACTTGTCAATAAATTGTATTTCGATGAGTCAGAACACCATAATAGTTGGTCCCTTTCGCATGGAGGCGGCTTTAGTCGGGTCGGAGTGAAAATACAATAAAAATTTGCTTTTGGACAAATGTAGATGCTTTGAATGAGAATTGAAAAGTTCCTTCTGAAGCGATGTGGCTGACGTCATCTAACACCAAACTGTTGATGAAATCCCATTTTTATGGCAGATTATGGGCTATTCGAGATGAGGGTTGCGCCTCGATCTCTGAGGGTGCTTCGGAATTTGAAAATAAATCTTGGTCGTTGGACACAGCTGGATCCAACGGCTCAAATTCTGGCAGTTTGAAAATCAACTGCCTATTTATAGAAAAAGGGTCACGCAAGAGGCGGCTATTGTCTTTCCGAAGTCCCTTAAGAGAACTCAAGATCTTCTCCATTCATCTCTTTCGGTGATCTTTTTTACGATCTTTGATGGCTTCTGAACCAGTTAATTGTCGAGCTCTTCTAGAGAAGATTCACTCTAAAGTGACTTTGCCACAGATGAGGACAATGCCTAAGAAGTTTGATATTCCTGAGGCATACGATCTATATGCTCTAACAAGGTCGGAGGCCATATTTGACCATGGGCCAAAGGGAATCCGCTCTATGTGAGGCATCTAGAATGTGGTCTGAGATTGCCTCTGCACCCTTTTCTCAAGCAAGTGTTTGAGGCACTAAGGGTGTCGCTGGTGCAGATGAAACCGAGCGCTATTGCGGTCTTAGTGGGGTTCGTGGTGATCTACCACTGGTTGGGGATTAGACCTTCCTTGAAAGTCTTCGGCCGTTTGGTGGCCATGAAGGTGGCTCAAAAAGAGACTCATTTCCATTTTCAGATGGTGGGGAAGTTCAAGCTCATCGCCAACCTTCCTAATTCTCATATGGATTGGAAGGAGAAATTCGTCTGGATCGTGGGGGATGACTTAGAGTTGGGCTATTCCAACTTTTCCAAGATAAAGAGGAATGGGCTCTCGGGGGGTGTGCTATCTGCCACTGAGATGGTCGAGCTCGACATGGTCAATGCATATGTTGGCTCTCGTCGATTCGAGGACCTGCTCGACAAATCAATCCTGCGGGTCGCCGGGGTGTCGAATGAGCCTTTCACCGACCAAGATTATGATAAAGCCTCAGCTCTCATCACAGGGGGAGCAGAGGCGATGCCGACACCTACTGTTCCTACAATTGATCCTTAGGGGGAGTTGTCTGCTAGGTCGGCAAAGCGTCTTCGCCGAGACATCCCTCTAATGAAGGTCGAGGAGGAGGTTGCTCCCACTATTGTCTAAAGACGACGAAGGAGGTACATGGAACAGGTACCTCAAGGGGATGATGAGGAGCAGGAGGTGCAGGCGACGGCTGAGCTGACTAAGACAAACGTCGTCCGCTTGGACAATTCGTCTTCGGGAGAATGGGCTGAGGCTTCTCAAGAAGAGAGAGCCGAGAAAATAGCTGTTGAAGAGGGAGAGTCGTCTAGTCGCCACCGCGAGTCTACTCGTCCAGGGAAGGAACCGATCGAGGAGGAAATAATGCCTCCTTCTGGGCTAGAATATCTCTTCCCCCA